GTGAATAATTACAATATAATGGAATTTCGGATTCTTTTACGTCAGGGACGGAGTAAACAGAATAATTTGCGACGAACGTTCGAGGCCACATCGAGCTATCGAAAACAACGGTAAAATCACATAGATAAATTCACATAGATAAGTATTCTTCATGACCTCTTCTCGATTGAATCCAACGCCGTTACAGCCAGAGAAATAAAATAAAGAAAACATTCTTAAATTCCTTACGAATTAAATCAAGAATACACGATTTTGATTTTAGATACTATCTTTGCTTCTTTTGTCTTCTTTTTTCTTTTTATTCTCTTGAGTATTTATCCTTAAACGACAAAAACAAGATGTTTTTGCTTGAAACTCTTGGATCGCATTTGGTAGATGAGAATACGGATCGTCACGGCGGAAAAACAAAGACTCTGATGTAAGTTACACTTAACAACTTCAGTCGTAAACAACCGGAAGAGGTCTTGTATACGCACGCTTCTTCTACCATTTGCCAAACCTTCCCCGGTGTACCCAACGAAGCGAGCCGAGCCAGATATCACCGCGTCAATGCAGTTTTTTGCTTCCCTCTTCCCTCTTCTTTGAACCGTTAACGATCGCCACTAGCTATGAGTTCACGTGGTCGGCCATTAAATGGCCTACACGCGAGACAGATGTGCTCGTCGAGATTGCCAGTATCAATTTTTTCGCTGTCGCAAACGACCTAAAGCGATGATGCAAAAAAGAATGTATTTACAGACCAAGTGCGTGATGTACCAAAATACAACTACTTCTCGTTTTCGCGAGATATACAATATCATTGATTTATTTCATTATATTTATTTTACCGAATGCGATAAAGCCACTATCAAAGGGGTCGTTTCAATGATGACGTTTGAAGAGATAATCGGAAAGGGGACAGTGCAAACTTGTCGCAAGTAGGGCGTAATATTTCCGATATTTTCAATGCGCGCCTATCTTCCTGGTGACACGTGCTCTACACATCGATACTCGATATATAAGCATACACATAAACCCACGTTGTGTACGTGGGAAGAGTATGCAAAGCAGAACGAAGCAGTGGCTTTGGGATGTGTACTCTACCCTCCACTCCTGTCTCTATAGTGCATTGTGGACTTGCACAAGCTGATGGCTTTTATCTAAAGCACAATATACTGTTTTCCTTCCAGGTTGGCCGTCTGTCAATGCTACTGAAATGTAAAAATGATATGCTGAAGGAAAAAATCACCTGTCCTTCTCATATGTCACTGACCTGTCACCCACCGTTTTTAAAAAAAGTAGATAAATTCCCGTTTCCATCATGAGATTAACTTTAATCTCGGTTCAATTTAATCTTTATTTTTTTTTAGCTCTAAAAATTTTAACAGTTTTGAGAAAAAGAGTAGTTGGAGCGAGATTAAAGTTAATTGATAAAAACAGACATAAGACGCTTAGATAGATTTGAAATCATGGATCGAAATATTACCGAAAAGGAATAATTTTTTAATTCAAATCGATTTAATTTAATAAAAAACAAGTAAAGTATTATTAATTAAACAGTCAATAAAAATATAACTGTGCTAATAACATTAACGTTATTAATATTTAAAATATCGGAAAAATGTAAATGGTAATAACTAAATCGCCTCATCGGTCAAGATAGCTTATCGTGATCGACGACCTATTCGCACTGGCAATAAAATGATACGCTAGCCACGTGCGATAGTCGAACGCAAAGAAACCGATCGATCACCCACCCTGCTGAGCCTCCCACTTCCAAAGAAGTAATTGTCGACAACGAAGCGCATAAAAAGCGTATATCTTTGGAAAAATCTGGTCCTGATTACGTGCTAACGCATTCGACATCTCGTTCCTTCATATCTCCCTTCTTCCCTGGTCCCTCTTCAAAAACTAATTTACGAATCCGACATCCATCAACTGGGAAAAATATCACGGGTTCCGATTCGCTCGCCAGCCGGCTGCCAAATCGAGGTGCGGAATATTATGTATGAAGAGAACGCATCGATTACGAAGTGACGAGTACTTTTAATTTTATTAAATTTGATTCTACATTGGTTGCAATTAAATAACATTTTAATTTGAATTTATATACGTGACTCCGTAATTAAAATTTTATAAAACCTCTTGGGACATATATGAGCACAACATTATATAATCACACGCTGCATAAACGAGTACATAATTTTCGTTGCCATTAAAACGCGCTCGCCCACAGCTGTTTGGAGGAGCTGGAGCTTTTTTATGTCTCTCGTACATTTAGCGACAAAAACCCCGTCACAGTGAAATGTTCGCCCAGCCGTAGTCGAAATAATTTGTATGTAGTTTCGCGAGAATGCAATGTGACAACTGCACTTTCGTTATCTAGCAAACGGAAAGGACCGGTCCAACAAACAAACTCTAGTGCGTCGCATTCACGTATTTACCCGCACATTGATTAAACTTCGTGCAGACGACGGCTATTTATTCATATTTTCGACGAGGTAGTTGCTCAAAGAGAGACTACAACTGAGTGACACGACTGGGCTTTTATCAGCAAAATCGAGCGTGTCGTACGTTTCATTTTGATACCGTATTTTGACGAACAAATTCTGCCGAATTGATGCACATACTTGTGTCAAATGTGCAATAAACAAATTTAGGCCTCTATTCTGTAAGTCTTAACGATTGTAACGATATCGTTACGTTGTCATTGCGCAATTAATTTGTACATGGTAAAAAAGTTGTGCAAAATCCGAGAAAATATTTCACAATATAATTATATAAAATTATATTAAAATTTTATATATAATTATATAAAATTATATGCAATTACATATAATTATATGAGCATATTTTATACATAATTATATGCAATTATATAAAATATGTCCATATACTTACATAAAATTTTTTCTCGAGGACATTAACAAAATCATTATATTCATTAAGAGTTGCAGAATAAAATTCTTGATTCTGTAGAAGATTTAATTAATTTATTTCACTATATGTATATTTTTTTAAAAATTAAGAACTAAATAAAGAAAGCCTGTATCAACGTTATTTGTGCGTAAATTATTGTGTTTAATAACAATACAAATTGAAATTTATATAATTTATCTTCTGCAGACTTATTTAAAAGATGGAGAGAGAAATCTACGTTCCTTTAAAGAGATTTTTTAACAACTTTTTAAAATTATTAACCTTTTTACGACATATTGCATAACGATGAAAAAGGAATATTAATTTGTTCCACAATTGCGTAATTTGTCCCTTGTTCGACGAAACCTGCAAGTGATAATCGTCTGCGCTTTAAATCACCCAGGCAACGACGCAAAAGCGAGTGGCGTGCTTTAGAGCCCCGAGCGAAGGCCGTAATTGATTAAATAAATCCGCGTCGACGTATTTCACGGCGGTGAGGAATCACTCGTTGTACGGTCGTCGTCGTCGTCCACATGTTCTTCCAGGCGAGAAAAAAAAAACAGTTCCCAAGGACCCGTAAAACTTCCAGGCAAAACGGATTTACCGAGCATTCCGTGCCTTTATTGGCATTCGACCGACGATAAAAATAGTCGCCCGCTCTTTCCTCGTCGCCCACGTTCCTTTTCTCACCCACCTCATCCCGGTAGGTCTATACATCAGCGCACGTAAACCCAAGCTTGCCCAAGCCTACCCCTCGTGTACTAGCATTTACCGTCGTCCCCCGCAGATCGACGTCACCGCAGGTTGCGGCTCCCTCGGCCGTAGGCGGTATGCAGCGCGAGAGAGCTCGTTCTCGTGGCTCTCGCATTAGAGCTTTCGCAATTTGGGAACTCGGAGGGTAGACGACGCGCGTTCAAAGTCCCATCAGGTTGGACGACACAGCTTCGGGGGATAACAGGAGAGGGTGCCCGGTGTGACGGCAGCGACGGTGGTGGCTTAATCACCCGACTAATTCTGAACGTTTCGCGGTGCACTTGCATTGAGCCAAATTCACTCGCCAGCGATAAATTATTGATGTCCTATGATTCGTACTATTAATGTGATCTAAATTACACTGGCGGTTACTTCAATACCACTTGATAAATTGCAGTTGCCGAACATCGATCCGTAATTATTGCTTGTTCCCGAATTATAGCTATGAGTCATTATACATACAAATGCCACAATGTTTATCTATAACATGTTTACCTTTAATATAGTTTCATTATATAATAAATGAGGATTTAATATTCAAATAACCTACATGGATAAATTATTTAATATTTTGACATATATTTGACAAATTATATCATCAATTATTAATAATTATTCAATTATTAATGCTGTGTAGTAAATTAATACGAATATTCGAGACGCGAAATCACTGTTAATATTTGTGGCAAAATTATTAGAAACTGTAGAGTTTTCACCATAATTTTAAATAGTTTTGCTACAATTTCTAATAATCATTTTGTATCTTTAATAATTCATTTCCTTGAAAGAATAATAAACTAGAAGAAATAATATATTATAAAGTATTCAATGCACTAAAGGATAGTCATATGCGGCATTAATACATGGTTGACAAAGAGGCGTGTGTGTTTATAATGAATATCCAACCGTTGGGAGCAACTAAGTGAAGCTTAACGATGTTAGCTGTTGTCTGGAAGGTTCATAACGATCAGCATCAAATTACGGTAGCCCCTCCTGATGAGTACTTAGTTTACCTCGAGGTGCCGAAAGTACGGTTTTTATTGATTTAATGGCTAGACGCTCGATTAAAAAGAAAGATAAATTCAAATACTCTTGTGGCTTTCCCTTCAATTATTTTTGAAAAATACATGATTTAAAAAAAAACAATACTCATCGTATTTATATGTATAATTTAAAATACATAAAAAATAAAACATGGAAAAAAGTATTTGAAGAATATAATTGTATTAATAGTGATTATATATTTATATGCTGTATTTATTTATTTATTACTAACATTTGGCAAAATTTCTTAGATTTTTAGAATTACGATATAAAATATAAAAATATGTAAACTAGAGAGAACTTACCAAATAAAAGAGGCGGCTCCACGTCGCGTACCGAGAGACTGGACGACGCCTGAGATGCACTGGATTCGGTACTCTGAGTACATCTGAGACGTTTCCTGAGTTTCGGCATATCGAAGGGTAGATCTCTTAGGTCTACACTGGTCGCACTTCCGGATGTAGTGGCATCTTGTTGCATCAGCAGCCGTCTTCTACGTAGCTTCGGCATATCGAAAGGTAGATCCGAGAGTTCCGGCTCATTGTCGACGAAATTAATATTGTCAAGCTGCGGCTTTAACAAATGGAATCCGAAAGGTTTGCACTTGATACCAGCGCGGGATTCAATAGATATACCGCTGTCTGAACCCTGGATCTCCGCGTCGCCCGACGACGATGACTGCAAAGCAAGATTAATAAGATTCTTATTCTGCGGCGTTCGCCGTTTCTTAAAAGATGTGTCCATAGGCGAAGTGACTGTATTCGTGTTGGTGTTGTTGCCTGCAGTGATGTTATTCTCCGCGGTGATGCTCTCCTCGGGCGAGGCTTTCTGTGAGTTATTGTTGCGATTGTTGTCGGAAGTCTCCGAGGCCGGCTCTTGCGACGACTTGTCGGAGATTGGCGAGAGGATATGCAACTTGGTGGCGTGATGATTTAGAAAACCAGGTAGCGACGGCTGTTGATGATGATGGTAGCAGTTGGTACCGCCGCTGTCGGAACTGTGGGAGCTCAGTGATCTGGTGCTGTGCCGACTGTCGGAGCTGCTGGTTGATCTGTTGCCCTCGCTAGTGCTACTTCTGATGGACTCCATACTACCGCCGCTGCTGCTGGTCGCCATGCTTTCCGTGCTGGAGTAACCAATGCGACGTCTCGAAGTACGTAACTTGAACTCTAAAAGGCCAGCGTCTCTTCGCGGTCGCGCAAGTTCGCTCTCCGCTTCATGGGGCCTACCCTTGAACTCCATTATCGGCCTGTTCTCGCGGATCAGACTGCGTGGTCGTTGTCTCTCCTCCCGGGGCCTATCTTTGAACTCCAGTATGAGCTCCTTATCAAATCGCCGACCCTGCGAAGAATCAATGTTCTCCTGGACGAAGGTCTTTGGCCGACTCTTGATTTCAAGAATGCTGCCCTCGCTGCTCTGCGGTGATTCTTTGGCGCGCAACAACGATTTCACTGGTAATCTCATGTCCTTCAAACGGGGATGATCTTGCTGTGATGGTAAATTTGGCGCGCTGCGAATATTCAACAGCAAATGATCTCGGTTTCCGTGAAATTTCGCAGGTAAGGGAGCAGTCGACGGTGGTGACGGTGTATAATCGCGTGCTGGTAATCTCGGCGATCCAGTTTTCTCGTCGCTCGAATTGATCTGGAGGGACTCGATATCTTGGGACAAAGTAGATATATTGTCTGACTGTTGTTGCGATTGTTGCTGCTGCTGTTGTTGCTGCTGCTGCTGTTGCTGTTGCTGCTGTAGGCGGCTCGGAATCGGTTTTGGGCGGAGAAGTACGACCTTACGTCTATCTTTGTTTGATTGCGATTGGCCAGCGTAAGGAAGCGACTGCTGATGTTGTTGCTTCGACGTGTCCGTTGACGAACTCGTTCTACTCACTGGCGCGGTATTACCACTTCGTATCTGCGTTTTATTTTATTTTATTTTAAAACTTGCTTTTTACACGGAAAGAACGGGTTTGCTGAAGTATCAACAAAAGCTAGATTATAGCTCTAAAAATAATTTTGTTTTTATCAAAATAATAATATAGAACGGATTGCTAGAATATTAAAATGTTTTGCAGTATTGTTATCCGTATCTAATTAAATTTTTTGATACTTTAATAAAACCGTTATTTCCGTGTGCAAATAGAATCTAATAATAGCATTTCTATAATTTTCATTTGAATATTGAATAGAGCAAAATTCAATGAAATATGTTATTTAAGAACAAAAAGACAGAAAATGAAAATAACAGTTTGCAAATAAAAAATCTCTATCGTATTTAACTCAATATCAAAGTTCATAATAAAACTTAAAACCAACGTACATACCTGGGAATGCAGTACCGCGTGATTAGTGACTCGATCGAGATCGTCAAGATCATCGTCGGAGCGATTGACCTTGCAGTCGAAGGCCGTTTCGTAGAGGTGACGTTGCCTAGCCATTCCTTCCTCGTCCTCTTCCTCAGGCTCCGCGTCCTCCTCGTCCCCCTCTTCTCCCTCGTCCTCACCCTCCACGTCGTCCTCGTTCTCGACAAGTATCAGCTGCGGGTCTATCCTCCGCGTACGTCGTAGCTTGCGCACTTGATGCCGCGCCCCTTGCGGCTGTCGTCGGTCTAGCTCATCCTCCTCCTCTTCAGGCGATGCGACGCAGGTACAAACGGTGGTAGGCAGATCATGGCTCAACAGCCTATGAGGAGGCATGAGGGTATGATCCCACTCGGTGATGATGCACGACGAGAGGATCTCGTTTCTGCCTGGAACACCATGCTCGTTCCCCGATGTGGGGCTCACTAGATCCTGACTGCGATAATGCGACGATAACGGCGGCGGTGGATACTGCTGTTGTGCTTGTTGATAATGCCGTGGCTGAGATGAATACGATCCTCCATCACCCGCTACCGAGTTTCTTTTGGGTAAACCGGGGGTGCGTGAACGCTCGTCTGGTACATCGAGACTGACGCTCTTACGATACTTATTTGGCTGCGATTTGGACTGTTGCTCCGGTATCTTAAAAAGATCGCCGTAATAATATGGCGATGGATGACGCACGGGTTGAGCGGACTCGGTCGGGGATTGATCAGTGAGATGTACTAAAGCGACGCAGTCTACGAGCAGACCATCGGTTGAAGTTAAAGTGTCCCTGTCCGCTGATGGAGCTCGGGCCGAAGAAGCATAGACACTATTTTTTCGTTTTCTAACGATCACTGCTCGTCCGTCTTCGTCGTCCTCGCAGGACGAACCAGACGCTGAAGGATCTGTAGATTGTTTAAAATAGAACGATAATTATAAGATGTTATTATCTCTTATTAACTTTAATCGATATTCACTAATCTAGCACTCGGACATTTTTTCACCTACACTGAATCAAAACTGTGTGTAAATATAATAAAATATTTGTTGAATTGATGAAAATTGGTTCCCATAATGATTTAGTTATAAAACTATTACTAGAATTTATTGCAAGAATGAAAATGTAGTTATATAAATAAATCCCGTTATTGTATCAATGAATTAATTCATATTAAGTCATTGATTAACGATCATTCATTGAAAAATGGGCAAAATTTTTTTCAGTGCACGTTATAAAAAATTGTAACAAATATTTTTCACAACCTTATATAATTTTAATTTACATAAGGTACATTTTATTGCTCTTTGTCCTTCAAAATAAAAAAAATTGTTTAATTGCATTCATTTTAAGTAATATTAATTTAAAGTACACTAAAGGCGAATACTTTTATTCGCCTGTTAGTGTACTTTAAATTAATATTACTTAAAATGAATGATTAGAGTTAATGAAAACGAGTTAATGAAAAGTAATAACAAGTTACAAATATAATTTGTATAATTCTTGTATAATTTAATAATGCTATTTATGAAAAGATAATTTAGACTTGTCTAACATTTAAATATCGAGACAGAATTGACAAAGAGCTCATTGATCATGAACGCAAAGATTCAGAAGATTTATGCATAAAGTGATGTCCTAGCCATATAAAGCTCACTTTCGAGAACCCCAAAAAACGGCGCGAAATTTTCATAATCGTCCTGTAAAGGAAGTACGGGGGAGTTGGTCCGCCGAAGAAAGAGAACGAAGCTTACGGGGAAAGCAAAATTGCCTTGAAATGGCAGCCTTATCTCCTTAAAAATCACTTCCTCCGTCCATAGGATATTACCGTAATGGTCCCTGGCTTCCTTGCCTGACGTCCTATCCTCCACCCTACATCTTGTTCAACCACCCCTTTCAGCCTCTTTGTATTCGTCGACCCGTTCGAGTATCATCTAATGCTTCTTTAGACCTTACGATCGTGTCACGACCATTCGCGGTAGCAACGAGAGAAAGGGAAAGCAAAACCGAGCAGATGGAGGAGACACAAAATTACGCGGACACCCGGTACATTATATAAGCAAGGTACACATGCGGAATAGACGAAAGGACTGAAGATAATGGGCACATTATGCTCGACCAGAGAGGGCTCCATCGAAATCCTTCCTCGTTCCCTCCTTTCTTATGAAGGTGGCAAGAACGAGATGCGTCATAAACCACGTTGGTTGCTGCTTTTGACAGGGATCGTCGCGGATATACGGACGAACTTGCCGAACGAGAAAAAAAAATTATTATCGGAAGCCGCTCTGGTCCATCGCATCGTCCAGCCAGTATTGCTGCACCAGACACAAAGGCTCGCAGCATCAGGATGTGGATATCGATCGCTTAGAGTGCAATAGGCGGTCTTTGTACGTCTCTTTGTCGCCAAGTAATTTGTTTTTGATCGATCTCCGCACACAGTGAGTAATCATATCGCGCGCGCGTCACATGCACATTGTACAATGTACAATGTAGTTATTTAACGATGTGGATTACTGTATGGCTTTGAACATTTATCTTACCATTCACTGTGCTCAGTTTATTAATATCCGTGGTTTATTTAATAGAAGCTCCGCTAACTCAATTTTTTCAGATAATATAATTTTCTATATTAATTTTTACTAAAAAATGGAAACAGCAGCTCGCGTTACGGTGTTTGCGCTTACTATCAATAAAACTTTTATATTTCTTTTTATATTAATCACAATTAATCATAATTTCAATAATATTTATGTTAATAAATGTTATTTGTGTCATAATATAATATTTATAACATTATTTTCCTTTTCAAGCACATTTTAAAATACTCCAATTTCACCCATTAAAATAATTATAATTTTTGTAACCAACTATTGTGACATATCTTTTTTTTAAATTAATTTCCTATTTTTGTACGATATTTATTTTTGTTTTTTGGTTGTATTTTTATAAAGATTTTGATGATTTTTTTAAACAAAACACTTTTTTACACTTTTTTTCAGAAACTCTTGCTTACGTTGTAACTTTTGATACTATTATCAAAAACTTTTCTTCATTTATAGATTTATATTCTATACAGCATGTTTTAGCATGTTCTTATTTTAAAGAGTTAATTAAAATCCATTAAATTTATGGAAAATATGGCAAAAAAAGTTTGGAGTCTAAAATATTCGTTCTGTGTAAATTAGGATGATTCGGATGACATTGTTATAGTTAAGATATTAAAGATTAGTTAGTATGCGACTATAATACAATACATATTTTGTAATTATCAGATGTACACACGATTAAATATATTTTAATAATTTCAAGTTTATTAAATTCAATGTAGAAAATTATGTAGAGTTAGTTAAATAAATATCATACTAAATTTATAAATAAATTCAGAAATACCGACGAGTACAATAGAATATAGATTTCACTTCATATTATTATGCCATGGTCAGGTAAAATCACTGTGGGATCCATAACGCGGCAGGATATCCCCAATTTCCTGCGTATTTCACTATCACGAGAGGGTTTAAACTTCATTTTCCATGGTCAAATACAAAGGAGTGGCGCGACTGGGGGGATTCGTAAAGCACGAAATGGGGAATTAATTTCTGGACAATGATTCCGACAAATTATCGCACTATCCGCCTGTCGCCATAAAATGGGGACGAATCGCGTGCGATTCCATTTTATCTTCTCTTTCGAACTCGCGGCACATTCTTGGCAGCGGGTGACAAACGGCGAAGAAGCCCCGGATACGAGAAGCTGCGGAAGAAATGGTCCCTACGAAACCAGACGTTGTCTACGTATTCAAACTTTCACAAAGGGGCAGGAAGGCGACTGATGACCCATCCCCTTCGCGAGGATGAAAAACGGGAGCGTGGATCCATTACCTTTTCTTTTCACCTGAAGCTACTTTTCTACCGACTTTGTTCGACAAAACTTTTCACCGTTAAACTTTTAAACATTCAAAAAGATGCGGTGTGCGCAGAATTAAACAGAACACCGATCCACCAGGATTAATGGTAAAAATACAATACTGGATGTTGCAACATCAGAGCGGAATGCTAACGAGGAAACGCAATATTGTTTTGCGCAGTTGGTGATGTAATATCACGATAAAATTATATCAGAGAAACGTGCTGAGAGATAGGGGAACTCAATCCTCGGGAAACAAAAAATAAGATAAAGAAAACTTCTCTGAAAGTGAGATCGAAGAAGACATGAATATGTATTTGCATCTGTTTTGTTCGTGCAAACTCAAGCAAGACGTAGGATTAAGTCTCGGAAAAGTAAATATATTAAAATACTGCAATAAACAGGAAAACGTTATTTATGTTTATTACAATATTTGAAGCAACCTACGGTTGAATAAAAAATAAAACTGAAACCTCTTTGTCTTAAAAAATTGAAATATAAAGTATGACGACTCGTAATTTTTTTTTATTTTTTATTATGTATGGAGGACACACAAAAATTACATTTCAAGGTTGCTCTACATATAACCAATTGCATCGCCTTTTCGCGTCGTTATTATTCGTTTGCAAGCAAGAAATATTGCAATGGACAGTACGACCTTTCATTAAATGTGCACGCAAACATACATATATACAAAAGCATGCTGGCGTGTCGCCAAATTGCAGTGATATTGATTAACAATCAATAATCTGACTTGAAATATCTGTCAACTATACAGAAGAGAGAAAAGCGAACTAGAAAGTTGATGATCGAGCAGTTCGATTAAATTGAACTGAATTACATATATTGGCCGAAAAAAATGCGAACGTCCGCTCTTGTGTAACGTAAACGAATTTTTTTAATTGATGAATAAAACATTCGGGATAGTGGTTGAATTCAAATATCTATCTGCAACTGGCATACCTATGTAAATATACTATTTATAATAATATGAAAATATAATTATGTGTCAAGTGCTTTTTCTAAATAATTGTTGAGATTTTATTGAGAATTATATGTTATACATTATGATGTATATTTTATATAACATGTACATATAATTAAATAAGTTTAGTGAGCAAAAATAAATTCTACGTAAAATGGAACTGACAGTGAAAAATCCGTTGACGGATTCAAATGAATAAATGGCTAATTATTGTATATAACGGGACATGTAGATGAGTCAGTAACGGATACTACATGCGAATGAGTGATCGAGTGACAGAAAATGAAAGAGGGTACGTGTATGCAGAGTTAGGGGCGACGATACATCGGGGGTAGGCAATGCCTACCCTAATGAATCTATTACAGCCGGTGAGCGACAACCCTCGCCTAGCAATCACTACAGATAACACGAAACACTGTCGCATGCATCCTGTTTACATGAGTCTGTAGATAACGAAGATGAACATCCGAGACGATCTATTTTGGATTTACAATGCATGGAATCTACGTGCGAACTAGACGAGGAGGCAAAAAAAAAAACTAGCGCAAGAGAGTTGTTATCTGCCTCGATTAAGGTCAGTAGATAACGATATTATAATCAATTTTTCATTAGGAACAGTCATCAAGGCCATGGAATGTAATCCATAATAGCTCGCTGTCAAAAATCGTTTATAAACCTCGTAACGTTATACAGCTCATTTTAATATCTTAAATCATCTAGGCATAAAAATAAAAACAATTTTATATCACTTAATACAAAAATCACATTAAATAATATAAATTGAAATTATAATAAAAATTCTAAAATTCTTAATTAATAATAATATAAATATTAATTAAAATTTCCGTTTGAAGTTTATCATTTAAAAAGTTACATATAATTATTATTTGAAGTTACGTATAATTATATTTGTGCAAATCACAATAATTATATAACACATCATACTTCGAGGAAAGGTCATTTCAGTAAATACTCCTTCAGTAAATATCCATCTCAGTATGTTGTTAACACAAAGC